GACTAAGAGACAATACATGTCTGCAAATCCCAATTGGAGTTCAAATCTATTCTACAGAATGCACTCAAAAACGTCCCACAGCACATAGTAATGACAAACACGAAGATGCTCTCCAGAGTTTGAATCTGCACCTCACGGGAGTGTCCTTTCACGTGCATCTCACAAGACCGGATCTGCTCCTCACACCTGGCGCCTCACGAGCACATCCTACCATTGACAACATAATGCACAGTAAATGTGCCTGTGAGGCGTCCGTTACCTTGTTCCCGCTTCCTCCTAACGAGACGTCCGTTACCTTGTTCCCTTACTCCAGAATATCGCATGCCCTCTGTTCCCTCTCTTCTATCAACCTTCCTGTTCGTGTAACTCTTCCATCCCGGCGCCGATGCCGACGCTTATTCCGGCGACGAACGTTCCTCCGGAAACCGTTCCGCCGATGACCGTTTTTCTCATCTCTTCTGTTCACATTTTAACCTTTTTTTCTCAAGACAAAACCATAGAAGGAAAGGCTCACCGGCAACCACCCGACCATTGTTCAGGTTTGTTTTTTTATCTTCATTCTCGTTTATTTTATTTTTATTTTGTATTTTTCTCCAACCAGTGCTATTTTGACGAGCGCATAAGACAATAAGACATTAGGGGATTTTACACTGTAATGAATTTTTTTTAACGGGTGTGTAATTTCTTTGATTATTATTATTTTTTTATTTTTCCCGCAACAGTTATAAATGCATGTTTTGTGCATTTCTAACCAAGTTTAGTCCATATCTAGTGCTTGAAGTTTATAGTAACTTGGAATTGTTGACATGCGAAATAATACATGAATTGTTTCATTTCATTGCAGTTGATCTCAAGCATTCAGTAGTCGTCTCCTGGGAGAACATTTTTGATACATTTGAAATGTAACTGAAACCAAATATACCTGTAATCCTCTATTGGTTACAATTCTCAGGAATCCATTTAACCTTAACCTCAGGTGCAACATCGACCACAACATATCTGGAGCCAAATACATCATAAAAAATTTTAGATTCGCATTCATAGCACAGGTTGGAGAAAAATACAAAATAAAAATAAAAATAAAATAAACGAGAATGAAAGAAAAAAAAACGCACTTGAACAATGGTCGGGTGGTCGCCGCTGATTTTGTCTGGAAAAAAATTAAAATGTGAATAGAGGAGATAAGAAGGACGGTCTTCGCCGGAGTGGTCGCCGGCGTCGGCGCCGAAGATGGAAGAGGAGGTGGAGGGTTCAGGCAGAGGGTTACACGAACAGAAAGGACGAGAGAAGAGAGGGAACGGAGGCCGGAGTGTAACAAGGTTCTCTTCGTCGCACCATCAAGTGCCATCCACTGTGCCTTCAGCCGCAACTCCAACGTCCAAGTGTGTGCCATGGGTGGGCTAAACATGTACTTTTGTATGGGGG